TCGTGCTTCGCAATCAGGAGCAGACTGCCACAGATGCACACACGCATTTTGATTGAACACCACCGTTACCTATCGTTTCATTCTCACCAGCTCCCATGAACTCCGCGCAAAGATAGAACGAAAAGAAAATAACGTGCAATACCCGAGCACTGACACAAAAGCAGAAGCAGCCAAGAACCCGACGTATTAGATTAAATTTTTAAACTGGAAAGGTTGAAAAAGAAAATTTAATGTACTCCTTAAGTCTAATCGGGAACACCTGGAAAAAATCAACTCTCCATTTTTCCACCTAACTTCCACCTAATCTGTCCGAAACGCATGTATCCTGCAGGGTGAAACTGATATGGATATCCTCCTCGACTTTTCTTCTTCGTTTCAGGGGTCTCCGGATCGGCTGGAGGAAAAGGAGCTCCAGGAGAGTCACGACGGGGATCCACATCTGGGATGAGCTTTCCGCCTTGCGGCTCGCCGATGGGAAAGATGTGAGGTCTATGATACTTTTTTTCATATGCCTTCATGATGAATGGTGGCGCGTCAAAAATATCCATTAAATATTTATTTCTTACATCCGAGCATACTGTACCAAGCCCATTATTGCATCCCGATCGGCCGATCTGCGTCTCGAGATGGGGAAGAAGGCTATAAAGGAAAAGAAAGCGAAGCTCTAGGCTAGATTTTTTACGCATTTTGACCGGCTTCGTCAGGGGGTGCACGGCCGGCCCAGAGCATCAACAGCTGTTACAACCTGTTTCTGTGGTCAACCTAGAGTGCCAGGAGTACTAGATAGAACTTTGAAGTACTACCCATTCCAAGGACAAACCCAGCTGAAGTCTCTCTGCACACGCCATCGTCTATTAATGATTGGCTCAAAATGTCTCACGACAGAGCTACCCGAACTATGCTATAGGCCAAGCAGCCCACAGACGACGTTCAGCATGTACAGAGATGACGATCCCCAAATTGTCCCTGGTGAGGGAAGCCTTATTCCCACATATGGACATCTACGAATTGACCTACACCCCGAGAGGCTACTAAAAGCTTTTCTCCATCTAGAGGTAAAAAGGACGAGAAAGAAACCCGATCACCGGTTTTTTAAACAATTTGGGACAGCCGAGATACTGCGAGCGATGAATCGACTCACACAGACATCAAGGCAAAACGTATGGAGGTATAAACATAGGATGTCCATCCGCAGCAGACTCCTAGCCTAAGTGAAATGAAGAACTGCGAAGAAGCCAAAGAAAAAGAGAAAGAAAGAGAAATCCTGAAGTTATCCTGAAGTGCCACCAAGCCGTGCAGGAATCTCGTCAGGGACACGACCCTGCCGTCAGCTTGCGGTGCAGCTTGACCCTTTTCGACATCTCCGCACTAGGAATGAAAAAGATTAAGAAGAGAAACAGTTTCTGCCCGAGCAGAGGCATCATCTGCTCTAATAGATACTCCCGAAATGAGTGACCCTCATATTACAACGCCTGATCTGAAGAAGGAACTCAAACAAACGGCGAACTGGGGGAGCCCCGGACACGACCGTCTTCCGAACTTCTGGCTGAAGCAATTAACATCGCTACATGAACAACTCGTCAGAGAAATGCAGAAAGTAGTGACGGACCCCTCGGAGATGCCGGATTGGTTCACGGCAGGAATCACCTACCTACTGCCGAAAAACGCCGAGACCCAACTACTTAAGAATTACAGGCCAATCACCTGCCTGCCAACCGTGTAGAAAGTGCTGTCTTCCATCCTAGCAACACGAATCGAACGACACATCTATGGCAACCACATCATGTCGGAGGAGCAAAACAGTTGTCGGAAAGGATCATACGGCTTCAAGGAACAGCTCTTTCTCAACCGTATTGTCATGGATGATGCCTTAACCAGGAAGAAGAATCTCTCGATTGGCATGAATCGACTACCAGAAGGCATATGACTCGGTGCCCCATTTATGGATCATCAACACGCGAGATTTTCATCAAACGCGGGATCTTCCAGGGAGACACGCTATCTCCTATACTCTTCTGTCTGACTCTCAATCCTCTCAGTCAGTGGCGTAACTAGGTAATTTGCCGCCCGGGGCGAGTGACTGTTACTGCCGCCCCCATACTCCAGACCCCCCCCCATAAGAACTCATTATTACTGAAAAATAAAAAAGGAAGAGATTTGCCATATTAGTGGAATAGTTGCTGCCCATCGGAATTCCAATTTGCTGTCTAAAAACTTTAGTACCTAATTGGATGTAGTTGTTTTCTAAACAGCCTTTCAGGAGGGCAGCTGAGCGATGGGCAGCAACTATTCCACTAGTTGCTGCCCATACAAGATGCTTCTTGTTTGAGCACGGACCGATACAAAATGAGGATGCTGACTTCTCTCATTCTGAGAGAGATGGTCGAAAATTGACAAAAGGATGGTTCATAAAAGAACTTCCAAATGGTGGATGCGTTCCGAGAAGTTGGCTTCTGTACAGCGTGTCAAAGAATGCTCTCTATTGTTTCCCTTGGATGATATTTATACATAAAACCCAAAAGGAAACGAGTAGGTTTGCAAATCCCTCACTTGGTTTCACAGATTGAAAAAAATAACATTCAAGAATTCCTGACCATGAAAACACTAAACATAGGGACTGCTTCTGCCGATGGAAAGAACTTGAGGAAAGGCTTCTGAAAGCAGAAGCTGTATATGCTGAAGTGCAGAAAAGACGGAATTCAGACGGAAAGAAGTTTCCGGAGACATGCACTCTCCGCTATGCGAGATGTTACCTTCTTTCTTGCTGAACCTTTGCGTGGCTCCACCGATGACCTGGAGCAACATGGATGTCGAAGTTTTCTTGGTCTCATCAAGCCGTTGCGGTATGATTCCCGTCTGAAGCAGCTTCTTGATAACCAAAATAGGAAAGGCAAGAAAGGTCCCGTGAAATACTTATCTCCTGCTGTCCAGAACGAATTCGTGAATCTCTTGGGGGAAGAGGTGAAGAGTGCCATCGTTTCCAGGATTCAGAAAGCGAAGTACTTCTCGATCGTGTTTGACACCACTCCGGATGCGTCTCACATTGAGCAAATGTGCGAGGTTATTAGATACCTCCAGGTCAGCGAAGGATGCTCAATTCAGGAAAGCTTCTTGGGCTTGTATTTGTCAACAAGAATACATCTCCACGGGGAGCATCGATCATGAATTAAGAGAAATACACGCGTCTTCCTCTGTTTATAATAAAAAGTAATTGAAATCTGCTCCTGTTATTTTTTTCGAATTGGATCCAGAAGAAAATGCATTGCTCATGGAAAAGTTCACATATTAGATTGTTGCAGGGGATAAAAAAATCAATCGATGTCGAGCCTTATCGATCGCTTGGATCGCGGAAAGCAGGCTGTGAGAGGGAAAAAGAAATGGGGTGGGAAGGAAATATGTGAACTCGGCCGCGGCAGCAGACGACGCCACGTCCTTCCTTGACCACGTGACGTCACGTAAGAGGACTCGGGGCGCCCGCTGTTCGAGCCGTCACAGTCCACGGTCTCGGTGCGGGGCGTGAGGTCCTTTCCCCGAGGGAGTTCGGCGGGATTCGGGATCTGCGAGAGGCGCCGAGGTGAGTCGACGGGCCTTGAGCTCTGCTTACGACTATTCGAGCATGGTTCAGTGATCATTTTTGAGGGAAAAAGTGATGTGTGATGAGGTGGTGACTGATTTTAAATGATTTAAAATTAAATACTTTCGGGAAAGGATAAAAAAAAATGCTTCATCGTTTGAGAAATCTTTGACACGCCCAGCCACATTTCAAATTCAAATCAAGCTATCATTCAAATATTATTCCAATATTATTCAAATACGAGGAGTGGGTAGGGGAACCGTTCTGGGAAGTGCATCGAGTAAACTGCTTGGACGAATTCAAATGCCCCATTGCAGAATTTGTGGGAAAATGCATCATTTTCTTTAAATATTTTTTGTTTAATTAATCATTAAATTCGAAACCACGATTAACCGATTGACTGATTAATCGCAACCATGCCCTAGTTCTTCCGAGCTCTTCGGATGAATTTTAAGAACTTCTCGAGCGACAAAATTCACTGCCGGCATCAAAAACGGGTCGGTCGTGCGGAACGGCATAGTATCGACGCGGAAAGACCTGGGCCCCATCGTGTCTTTCTTCTGAGCCTGAAACGACATTCCTGGAGCTGCATGGCGTCACGGTCCAGGCGGCCTTCATGCTTCCGTTGCATGTACAGGGTGGGCCAAAAATATTCACACCGAACCTTCTCCAGTGAAGGTGATGGAATTTCTGTAAGAATTGCCATTTGCATTATTTTTTCTCATCTCTGCCTCATGGTCACCCGGACGATTTTTGGAACGTCAAGCCACTTTTAAGCAGAGAAAGATTCACATTAAAAAGAAACCACTGAGGTTCACCGCGAAATATATCTTCTGAGACATTTAATTTGATACTGCAAAAAATATTGATAAGCAAACCCCGTTTCCTATCCTATCGAATGGCTTCCTTCGACCACCGCGATTTTGCGAGCACGAAGGAACATCCACCGATGCGTTGGGAAGCCTCACGAAACGAACCGCGCAACGTTATGCTCGATATGCTCGATATGCATCCTCACGGCCGACACGACGATCCGCGTTCTCGTCCGCATGGCATAAACGAGTGCAGTCGCCTGTCGGAGATGAGCCAGTCGACGCCATGCTCGGAAGGAGTCGAATCGTCGCGTCGAAAGGACGTGTTTACAGCGAGAGGGGTTCGTCAGCAGTCGGGAAGGACGAAGGGAGTGGAGGGAGGGATGATTTCGTTCCCTCAGATGCACTCAGGAGGATGATAGGTGGTGACGTTTCGAAACTGGAGAGGGTCGGAGAAAAGAATGGACGCCTTAGCGTTTATGAAAAACTCGACTCTTGTCTCCGTTCTTCCGAGGTTTTTTGCGCCTAACAGGGAGAGCCATCGGTCCTCGCATGGACCTCGCTGGGTGAGACCGATGTGGATATCCTCCTGTTCCCTTGATTTTCTTCGAGGAATGGATCCAGACGGAACTGGGGGAAGCGCCGCGTGCGTCGTGGAGCACAAGGAATGCGAGGGGAAGGACACTTACCTGTTGAAGGAGGATCGGCTGGGGCGTCTCCTGCTGAAGGCGGACTGCAGGGACAAGCCGGTCGCGGTCGTGTCCATCGCCGGGGGGGCGAGGCGGGGAAAGTCCTTCCTACTGAGTCTCTTCCTGAGATACCTCAGGGCCAAGGCAAGTTTTTTTTTTTTAGCTTCGTCCCAGTCGTCTCGGGAATCCTCTCCACTTTTCTTCGTTTCCAGGGGTCTTCAGATTGGCTCGAGAGGGAGGACACTCCGATCGGAGGGTTCGCCTGGAAAATGAGTTCTAAGAGAGTCACGACGGGGATCCACATCTGGGATGAGCTTTTCACCGTGCGACTTGCCGATGGGAAAGATGTGAGGTCGATGATGAACCATTTTTTTTCGCATGCCTACGTGATTAATGGTGGCGTGTCAAAAATATCGAGGAAATATTTATTTCGTTTACCCGAATATACTGTACGGAGCCCGTCATTGCATCCCGATCGACCGATCTGCGGAAATGGGCTTCAGCCTCGAAATGGGCTTCAGCAGTCGAACAAGGAAAAAGTCGCCGGGTTAAAGATCCCCTAGAATACAGAAACTTCCTGTCGATCGGGATGCAATCGCACCAGAAACAAAAAAAAAATAGGGAAAATCTCCGGGAAATTCTCGCTCGATGAAGGAACTCACAGGATCCCCTTCTTCCAGGCGTGCATACTCCTGATGGACACCGAGGGCACCTTCGACTGCGAGGAGTCCCTCGCCCACTCCGTCACCGTGTTCGCCCTCAGCACCCTCCTCAGCTCCGTGCAGATCTACAATCTCAAGGACAACATCCACATGGACGACCTCTTGCATCTCCAGGTACGAGAGATCTCCCTCGAGATCAGAATGCGGGGAATCCGATTTTTCTTTTCGCGGCTTTTCGGGATTCCTCGGAGCATCGGCAAGTTTCATTCTTTCAAATGCCTCCAGCAGATTTGTCAATTTCATTTATTTCCTGCAACCTTAATTCGGACGGATGAACTCAAGAATTTTTAGGCATTCGCTCTCATTACCAGTTGCCGCTTCAGATGGAAACGGTTGCATAATTCCCCTCGAGAGAGAAGCCAAAAATGTTCACGATCAGTAACTCCAGACAACTTAAAAATACGACACAGGCAAAATAGCGCTCATTGCAAAGAGCAGATTTTCCACAAAAATCTCCTGGATTTCCTCTGAACATCCCGAACGTTCTCGATTCCAGTTCTTCACCGGTTACGGCCGCCTCTGCCTCGAGGAGAGCGCCGAGAGCCCGTTCCAGAATTTCCTCTTCCTCGTGCGGGACTGGAGGAACCGCCACGAGTTCCCTTACGGGGGCGAGGGAGGGAAGTCGTTCATCGACGAGAAGTTTCGGGTCCGTCTGCTTTCCGTTGTTTTCCAGCGATGATATGTCGTTCGTATTTAATGGTTCTACGATTAGATGTTGAAGAATAGGGAAATTGTTTTATCTCGAAACAAATTATATATATAGACACATTTAATTTATGAATTGTAATGATCATACAGTTAATGCTTAAAATTAATTTTTATTAGAATCATTTGTCGATTCGTGCAGACTTCTGGGAAGCAACGAGATGACGTGAAGAAAGTGAAGGAAGACATCAAGTATTGCTTCAGGAAGCTCGACTGCTTCCTGATGCCTTACCCGGGAGAGAAAGTGGCCGGGGATCCGGATTTCAACGGGTCCCTTTCCGGTGAGTCCTCGTCTAGAGGGAAATTTGTGGCGGAAAAAAAATGAATTCGGGTCGTCCTTGCTGTTTCAGACGTGAACGAGGACTTCAAGGTCCAGCTGCAGCATTTAGTACCGAGACTGCTCTCGCCAGAGAATCTGGTCGTGAAGACGATCGCCGGCAAGCCCATCACGTGCAAAGAACTCTTGGAATACTTCAAGACTTACGTGGGAGTCTACAACAACCGAGCGGAAATCCCCGAGCCGAAGAGCATCTTCGAAGTAACGACGAAAACCCGTCTCGTACCCGCCAGGTACCTCTCAAGTACCCGCCAGGCACCATTTAAAACCGTCTTCTCTTTCCCAGGCCACCGCCGAGGTCCAGCACCGCAACGCCCGTGACGAAGCGGCGGACCAATACTCCCAAGGAATGGATCGACTGCTGGCGGAAACCCCCGTGCCGACCCAGAGGGAGCTAGACGAAATTCATCAAGCGTTTCGAGTTGATGCTTTCGAGAAATTCAAGAGCTTCAAGAAAATGGGCGGGAGAGAGCTAACGGATCGAAGCCTATTGCTCTTGGATAAGGTTAGAGCCAAAAATTATGAAAGGGGTATCGATTATAAGATTATAAGATTATAAGTCATAAAATATACACCGATGTTAATCTGTGATGAAACCGAAGCGATCGAAAAGGAATCCTTTGGAAGATTTAAATCCCCTTTCGGTTTTTCATTCGGTGAGACGAGCGGAATTTTCAGATATTTTATGAGCGGAATTTAAAGGACTCGTGCGGCTAAATGTGGCGAAAATTTTTGAAAATATCTTCATTTCATGGAAAACAATTTTTTTAATATACAGGGTGTCTGAAAAGTCACTCCCTCTTTTTAAATTGCTATTACTCCTAAACTGAAGGAGATATTGTAACCGTTTTTTTTCCCTGTTTTAAGTTTAATCATTGCCATTTCTATTATAAGTGAATAATGGCTGAAAAAGTAAGCATAGAAGAACGAGCGACTTAATTTAACGCCGTGCGACTTCTTTCTGTGGGGGCTGGGCTTAATTAAGTTTAAAAATCAAAACCAAGGACCATTGCTTAAAAACAAAATTCGTGATATTCTAGGCAATGCACCAGGTGACTTCTTGAGAAAATCTGTTGAAAATGTACCGGTAAGGTTACAGATATGTGTGGACAATTCTGGAGATTACGTTGAATTTTAACTTTGTAATAAAGCTTTTCAGTTTTGTTATGAAGTAAACGGTAAGAAATAAGCTTCAATTCAGTTAATGACAATTTTCAATATCTCCTTTGGTTTAGGAGCAATAACAATTTTAATTTCAACAAGATTTTTCTGGAAACTAGCAACGCAAGAACCAAATTGGTGTACCGATTTTCAGTTTTTTCTCCCATGTTGGCTTTTTGTAGAAGGAAATTAAAAAATTTCGGGGGGAAATCGTGACTCCCATTCCTATAATTCCAAGAATTTTTTTCCCATAGCCGATTCACCCTGGCAGCTAATTTTTAAGTTTCTGCTTTCCGTATGCGCCTGAGATACTGGAATGCAAAAGCATAATAATTAAAAATAAAAACTTCCGCAAATAAAAAAAAATATTCCCCGTCGTGTTTTGTGGAAACGCGTGGAGCAAGTTTCAGCTTTCTATACATCAGCCAATTTAGAGAAGAAATTTCATAAAGGCTTCCGGCATGCCAGCAATCCAAGTCCAATACGGTGCAGAATTCCGATCCAGATATTCTGCATTTTAACCTTCCGATTCGCGATCGCCATCGCGTCGGAAGAAAACGTTCAGCCGCGATGCATTAACGTGGCCGAGAATTGTAACGATTAGCACTTAGCGTCGTCGTGTGGCCAGACGGCAGGGTCCCGGGGAGGATTACCAAAGACGAAATGAGGCCAATCAAACTTTTCAGCGACGTTTATTCTTTGAAAACAAAGAAAAGCAATGCACTGAAAAAAAAATTTCCGCAAAGGTCCGACCACAAGTCAACATGCAAAATATCCGAAATTCTTCAGACAGGAATCCAGATTGCTACTCGTTCTTTCCCCCTCGTTGAATACGAAAGTGAAGGGAAAATCAGAAAGGTGACGGGGTTAGTGTCTTAAAGTTGAGATTTTTTGGTGCTTTTTTATTGATTCAAATGTTTGATGTTTCGGATTCTGTTGCCGCATTAAACTTCTGTGTGGGAATATTTTGTCAGGTGGTAAGGAAAGGGTAAAAGTTCATGTCGAGGTGGTTTCGGTCTGGCACTTTTGCCTTGCCTCGCTAATTACTCGCCCCATCGTGTCAACCAACTTCATTTAAATCCCTTTCATTCGTCATTCAAATCATTTAAATCCCTTTAAACTCCACGTATTCCTCTCCCATCCCGCAGACCCTGCGCGAGCTCCTCGAGAGGTACAAGATACATCGAGATTCCAGAGAGGAAAGGACCAGATCAGAGCTGATGGAAGCGGCGAACCGGGTCCTTCGGAAGTACGCAGAGGACATGGTCGACGTCATGAGGACCGTTCCTTTGTTGACGAGAAAAGATCTGCAGGAAAAACACAAAGAGAAAAAGAAAATGACGATTCAGAATTTCATGGAGAAAAAGGGTATTGCTAATGAAGTCCTCTTCGGGCAATTCATGGAGAAGCTGGAAAAAGTTAAATTTCGCCTTATTCCTTGAAATGTGTGCCTGACCCTTGCGATTATTCTCACCGCATTTCACGTTTCCACGTCTGATTATTTCCTCGGGTACCTTGTCCCCCATCTCCTTCTCCCTTCCTCCCCTTCTCCCTTCCTCCCCTTCTCCCTTCCGCTCCAGGATGTCGAGTCGCAGTCCGCGATTTACTTCACCGATAGACAGTGGAGGGAGAACACAGCCGATCTGGAGCTGAGAAGCATCGTCCAATCCGTCGTCTTGGTCTACGGCACCCACATGGGCCGATCGTGCGATGGAGCCGTCCTCACGGAGGAGGAACTGGAAAACGAGCACGAGAAGTACCACAAGGAGGCGATCGACGCCTTCTCGCACGGAACGAAAAACACTCCGTGTCCCTATCTTCTGGATGAACAAAGGAACAACTTGACAATCGTAACTTTTCCTACTTTTTCCACGTGCCGCTTCGAAGAAAAGGAATTGCTGATTTAAGCACATAACACGATTTTTTTTCGAACAGTCTCTTGATGGGCAGTACAAGAACTACATCGAGCTCAGAGAGTCAAAAGAAAGGAAAGCAAAAGTGGAACTGATGAATGCCACTGAGGAGGCTATGGAAAAGTACAGTCAACATATGAGCAAATTGCTGATCGATTTGATAAGCGAAGAGGATCTGAACGGCACGCACGAAATTTACCTTCGGGAAGCAATGGAATCCTTGGGAGAGACGGGCAAAAAGTACCCGCACCTCGTAAAGGAATACAAAGAAGACTTGAGCCAGGTCAATTATCTAATATATATAGACCATCGTGACTGACTGACTGACGCTAATTCTAACCATGTTCTAGAAGGGTTAGAAATCTGAAACTTGGTACACATGTACCTTTTAGGATGCAGAGTTCAGAAAAAATGCGAATTTTGAGGTACATGCCCTGGGGGCACCCATTTTGTGGGGAGATGTTTTCAATGATATATATTTGCTTCAGTCTAACGGAGAGACATAGAAAGCTGAAACTTGACATGGACTCTGAGACACAAAGTTCAGGAAAAATGTCAAGTTTCAGATGCATGCCGTGGGGGCATCCTTTGGGGGGTGACGTTTATGAATTATTTTTTTTAGTCCTACCGAACTGGTCAGAGATAGAAAGGTGAAATCTGACACTTGAGTACCTATTGGGAACCTGAATTCAGAAAAATTCAGTCTTTGAAGGTAAATGCCATGGGGGCACAAATTTCAGGGGGATGACGTTTTCAAATAACTTTTTTTTTGTCCACAGAATTGTACAGAGATGGAAATGTGAAACTTGACACAGCAATAACTGAGGTGATGGTGATTTGAGAAAATTTTCAAGTTTCGTGATCCCTACCCCCAGGGCACAGCTTTTGGTTGTGTTGGCTTTCCAAAGAAATATTTGCGTTGGCAAAAAGAGCAAACGAATAAGGCTGAAACTTGGTTTGCATGTAGTTCTCAGAGAATTGATCTCATTAAAAACAGTAAATTTTAGGTAAAACCCTTGAGGGCATATTTTTTTTTAGAAAAAAGTGCTTTCTCCAGAAACTTTTTGGATTCGATGAAGAAAACTAAAGAAAGTTAAAACCTCAAGGAGAAGTACCTGTTCGATTGCTTAGTACATGTCCTCCTTTTCAGATATGACTCCTCATGGCAGATTATGAAAAGAACTGAAGTTAGGGACACAAGAAACAATGATAAAAAATATATTAGTTTGTTCCCTCTCAGTACGCATTCCGACGGGCACATACTTTTATTACATACTTTTATTATTTGCCACTTTGAAAATTATTTATTGAATTAATCACTATTCTGGGAATGGAGCGCCGAAGGCGCGACAAATATCTTCAAATATTTTCCGTTTTTTGCATTCAATTTCATTTGAATGCCCATATGAAATATATAACCCTTCGATCCTCACTGATGCGACACTCTCCCTCCCCCCAACAGCGCATGAGAAGCCAGCACGAGAGATACAAGACCTTCAGATCCTCCCAAGAGCAAAATGCAGTCGTGACTCTCCAGGACGCTCTGGCACGAAGCCTGCAGAACTACGAGCTCGAGATGTCCTGCCTCTGCGGTGGCAGGGATGGCAGTCACCTCCTCACCGAGAAGGATCTCACAGTCGGACATAAGAAATTTCGCAAGGAGGCCCTGGAGACATTCTGGACGACGGGAGTGCAGTGGCCCCACCATGCGGAGACATACAAGGACCAGCTGGAGGAGGTATTTAACCTCCCCATCCCCCTCGACCCCCCTCCCTAACATCCCACGATCTCTTCTCGATATTGTAATCGTTTGCAACGAACTTCGATGCCCGTGTGTATGAAACAGCGAGAATCGTGCGGTATCAAATTCCAGAATGCAAGAAAATAGGGGTTTGTGGGTAAATACTTTTTTTACCATCGAAAAACACACAGGACTTACCGTAACCGCGATTGTTCGTCACTGTGACACCGGGGGAACTAAGTCATGTATTATATAATGCGGTGAATCAAGATTTGAGAGGGCCTCACCTTTCTACAAAGTATCCCTGTCTCCTGAGATTCCCTTGCCCCTTGTAGCCCGCGTTAAGCACATATGGAAATCCGGTTCTCTGGGTTCTCGACTAAAAATTAAAGTGTGTCATCATCATCATCATCGGAAGAGGAGCGTCTTCCGTGGCCGGTCCTCATGGAAGTTCTCGCATTTCCAGGGGCCTCCTTCGTCCAACAGAAGGCTCGGTTATCTTCGGAGCATTCATGGTTGCGGAGGATAAGATGGATCCCCCGAAAGTCCTAATTGTAAGTGCAAAGACAGCCAGCCAGCAGGAATCAACTGCGTGCTCTTTCAGCGACGTCGAAGGTATTCGACGGATGTAAATTATCTTTGAGACTTAAGGGATGAGTGGGCGAGGTCCACTGGTGAACGTGAGCACAGTGAGCGTGAGCGTGAATGCACGGAGAAGAGCTTGGTTCCTCCCGAATTCTTACTAATCGGCTCTATCGTGCCTTATAATCTCCTTCTTTCCCGACAGCGTCTGACGGAAGCAAGAGATAAGCTGGAGAGAAGAAGGAAATGGAAAGAAACGAGGACGAGAAAGTTGCTGGAGAAAGCAGTGAGAGAAACGGCAAGGGAGTACATCGGCCCCTCCCGGATGAAGACGTTCCACGGTGAAACCGTCGTGGATCGGAAAGAACTGGCAGAGAGCCACTCGCAGCATAAGGACGCAGTCGTGCGATCCTTCCGGGCGAAGGGAGACTGGGCGGCCGCGTGGCTCGTCGAGGAGTACCGAGAGATCCTGGAGACCGTGAGTTCCATTTCGCGTCTGTGCCGTTCGATTTCCCCCGTGACCGTTTTTCTCCGACAGACACTCGACTCCTGGCACGGCGCGCTGGAGAGGAAGATGGAGGAAGAGCGGGCGAAAGCGAAGGACGTGGAGCACATCGTGAACGTGGGCTCGGCGTTGAACACCGCGGTCGGGAGCATGCTCGGGCCCGTCGGCGCCTTCGTGGCGGGAACCACCACGCGCGCCGTGACCGGATTAGTCGCGCACTTCGCGGGGAAGTCGAGGTGGCAGAACAGCGTGGTCCTTCCCGACCCCGACGGCATTCGCATGCCCCCCGTCGACGAAGTGGTTCTTTCGTCCGACGAAGAGGAATGAGAAGAATGAGTGCCGTCGGAAGAACGAAAAGAGTCGCATGCAGAGATTCGATTACTCGTAAAATACATGGTGTTTCAAAGAAACGGTGCTAAAGCATTTTCGCAAGTAATGACGGTACCTTTCATCAGATCGTTTCAATTCTTGAAACGCCTTATTTAAAACGAGGGGGAAAGGCACTTTTAGAGTTTGATGAATAATTGACACATTGTATCACTTTCATCGCTAGTTCAAACTTGATAGATGCGAAAAAGTCCTCAGCCGGTAAAGCAAAATGAGGTCTATGCGTGCCTTACCAGAGAGTCAAAGAGGCTGTGGTGTTTTCCCTTCCTCGCCTATTTCGACCACTATTTTTTTTTTTTAGCGAATTCAAGGGGAATTCATGCGTGGAGCCATCATGATGACAAAAGGAGTGTTAAGTTACTCCAAGTCGATTTTCCCGGCAGACCGAGAAGAACGAGTTTACCATTCGTAAACTGTACACCATGAACGAAGTCCACACGCGATTGATCGTGCGCAGTCTAAAAGTAATAGCGCGTCACTTTTGGGACACCCTGTCATCTCGGCATACCCAAGGCCCGGTTCGGTTCCCTGCCCGGGCGTCGGAGGGCCTGGAGGACGAACATCCCGACTCCTGGAATCCCTCCAGAAGGCGGAAGGTCTTGCCCCCGTTCCCTGTACTTCTGTACTCCTCGCGGTTCTCCTCGCTGAACAGCGCCGAGAAAGCGTGGGGGAGGACGCGCAAGTACCGGAATAATTATTTCTACCAGCAATTTTCTTCTGCATCGCCCAAAAAAATTTTCAGGAAAGGAATTCGCCGCAAGTTTATATAAGATTTAGCGCGAAAACATTAATTCTTTCATACCGAATTGAAATGAATTCATTAAAAGATTACTTATAATTGTTTTTTTTTTTGCAGTTGTAATCGTATAGCAGGTCGTCACGACGTTCGATTCCTAAGTTTGTCATCTGACTCGAATGCGCCGAAGTAAAATAAAAATGGAGTCCAGGAAGGTGCTTCTATTCAATGAAGCAGACCCACTTTTTTCAACACTTTTTTGCAAAGTGTGTTTCGGGAGTTCAGACCCAACGAATACATTTTTCACGCTCTCCTACTTCCTGCCATTGCACACAGGCCGCACTGTTTGTTTCACCTCAATATAGCATGTCGACTCGGCAGTGGAAAACACAAGACGGACTCCTCTAGCAACTTCATCAGTTAGGGCTCTCAATAGACCTGGCCGTAGTCGAGTCTCACCTGTAGATAGGATGAAGAGGGAAGAAGATGGCGCCGAGGATGTAAATTGCCATCCATCTCATGACGAAGAGGAAATCATCCGAGTGCTTGGAGAAGAGTCGGTGGACGCAGACGACGAAGATGAGGATGGCGGAGATGAAGAAGAGCTTCCGGAATCCCCAGCTGGAGCTTTCGCTGAGGTAGTGGAGGTGGCCCACGCGGAGGTCGGTCACGAGGTCGCCGGCATAGATCACCAGGTCATGGAGAGGACGCAGAAGACGAGCACGTGGAACCCGCCCAGCCGCTTCTCGAGGTCCGCTTCCATCTTTACACTGCGGACGGCTTGAAACGCGGGGGGGATGTTGTTTTATCTCATCACGGAAGACCAATTTCTGCTCCCGCGATGCCAATTCAACCAATTCTTCGACTCGTTTTTTGTTGCCGGCTCAACTGTTGGAAGAATCTTCACACTAAAGTCCGCACACTCGGTCTCAACGTGGATTCGGCTCAGCCACTGAAACCAAATACCAATACCTGAAACCAAATATTTTTTCGGTCACGGTTCCCGACCCGTCAAAATGCAAAACTCGTTCCCTTTAAATTCCCCTTAAATCTTGCAAAATCAAGCTTCGTTTCTCCTTTTGATTCGCGACGATGTCCTTTAGAGGTTTCGCAAAGGACTCTCATTTTATTGTCCTCTAAGACCGGAGAAAACCGAAGGTCATCATCCGGCATTTCCAACCCGGTCATCCGACCTTCCCGGCCCGGATGTCCCGATCGTCCTCGCTCGCTGTCCGGTATCTGTCGGGCCGGTCCCAGATCACGCTGGCACTCTTCCTATCCCCTGAAAAAAGTGCAAAATCTGGGCAAATCTATGCTGAGATTGAAATTATTTGCCAAATTTTCATCCTACGCCCAATCGCGTCCGCGGACGTCATAGCAATATCTGGACGCAGAAAGCTACGACTTACTCGCCATCTCGTTTCTCCTGGGGAATTCTTGTCTCCTGCAGGAAACGCCAGATGGCGGAACTGATTGGAAACTCACGCCGGTGACGTCATTAGGTCTCTCATCTTCCCTTGCAAAATTAAGCTTTTCGAAAAATTTTTTTTTTTTCTGCTTTAATTATATGTTCGAGGTGAGGAAGATCCATTCACTTCTGCGCAAGATTTATATTGGCATCGAATGGAAAATTTGAGAAATTTTAAATGAAATGACTTAGCTCTTCGAAGGTTAAGTACGTGTCAATTAACAGGTAATACGAGAACTTCCTCCTCGTATTACCTGGTAATACGAGAACTTCCTCCTCGTATTACCTGGTAATACGAGAACTTCCTCCTCGTATTACCTGGTAATACGAGAACTTCCTCCTCGTATTACCTGGTAACGAGAACTTCCTCAACTCACTTCCTCCCTTCCCCTCTCTATAAATAGCATGAAGAAATAGAGAACTCACAACAATAGAAGCAGAAAGCACGAGCAACCATGCCGGCAACCCAACAGGCAACCCAACAGGCAACCCAACAGGCGACCCAAGCAACGACGACGGTGGCGACGACGGCAACGCTGCCTCGACGGGGCCAGCATCCTCCCGCGACGGAGGAACCCCACTTCGCCCTCCCCAGGATGGAGGACGGCGACCCCACCTCCACTCCACCCTTCGCCCTCCGCCCTCCCTCACCTCGCAGAGGAAGGACGAGACCCATCCGACTTTCCATCAGGGCATCCGCGTCGCCTTTCTCGCCCTCTGGCGCCCTCGGCGAGGTCCTCCGTCCTGGCCCGCCGGTTTCGACGGTCATGTTTGACGATCTCCCTTTTTATCATTTCAAAGATATTTGATCACCATCGGTAGCCATGGCAACAGCTAGCCATCACGAGGTCCGTAAGAGTTTAAGTAATGGAAGCCCTCACGCCTCAAAACGCAACACGCAACATATCGCGACCAGGGGGCAACATGCTTCCTGGTCCGGATTTCCCTCCGCCATCTCGGGTCCGTCATGGTCCAGTCGCTTCCTCTTGGCTCCCTCTGCCGACAAAGTCCTAAACGATGAAAAAACCAAGCTCCTTCTCGAGGTTGACGGAAGTGAAGGAGAGACGCAAGATCCAATGGAATTCCTTAGTAGTCAATCATAAGAAGCCAGCAGAGCAAATTCGGTTTTCGTAGCTGCCATTCAACGCGATCAAAGCGAAGTCAGTTCAAGGAATTTTAAACTGTATGTGCGACAGCGAGAGACGGTACCTGCTTATATTTTTTCTCATTCAGGAAGCGAAAGAGAAACAAAGAAGGAATGACAGACCTTATTGCATGAATGCAGGAGGAATGACAAACCTTATTGCATGAATGCAGGAGGAATGACAGACCTTAATGCGGAAATCTAAGGTTCTGGGTTGGAACGTTCCCCCCTGCAGTCAGATCGAAGACGAAAATTTCCACATCATCGTCCGTGATCGATTGTGGGTTGCCCGGCTACCTTTTCCTTTCTTCTCCTTTAACTCCCCAATTTATTTGGGAGTTTCATACCGACGTTCTCGCGTAGATTTAATGCAAATCCAGAAAACTGGAATTTCGAGCATCTCGCTCATTTTTATTGCTCTAGCCTGAAAGAAAAAGCTCGACTTCCGAGAGGGAGTCTGGGTGTCAAACATCTCAGTTCTCTCACGAAGGTCCCATAGGAATCCAATAGTTTTTTAAACTGACAAACCATTAGGATTCCTATAGGAAACCTGTAGGGTCCTAAACGTTTCCTACAGGTTTCCCATAGGATTCTTAAAGGAATCAGATTTTTCACGTTTCAATAATCTATAGGATTTCCATAGCATTCCTTTACATATCTGTACATTCCTATAGTAATCCTAAAGGGCTGTTTCGTAAGGGTTTGAAGCCGACGGCCTCAATATTTGACGAATTCATTTCCTCGCAGGAACACATTATAAAATAGAAAAATCGAGTGAAATAATATGGGGATGTTGGCCCCGCCTTCGCCCCATGCACCGCGCCGTCCGCTCCGGTCCTCCTCCTCTATCTCCTTCCTCCATTACTCCTCCTGGAACGCTTGGAGCGCCGATGCCCTCCCTTCCTTCGGTTTCCTCGGGCCGAGAGAGCCGTGTTGGCCGGAAAATTCCGTGTCTGCCGGAAGATTCCGTGCTGGCCAGAAAATCGAGGTTCTGTGATCTAAACCGATTACTTTCACGAATGAAATTTCTGAGAAATCAAACGTATGTCAAAGATGTGGCATTTCCGATTTGTAGGAAGATTTAGCGAGAGCTAACATTAATCTCTGATAATCCCCGATAATCTCCGTTTAAGTAGGTGATTCCATCCTGTTTTGTCCATTTTTGTTCTTCCGGATGACGATGTGGGAATGTGATGGCATTTTCTTGCATCTTCCTCGATGTCTTTGGTATTCGTGAAACGTACCAAAAGTTTATTTTAAATAAAGTAACTTCATCACCAAGTTGAATATGTGGTACCAAGCGGTTCAACGAATAAATAAATCGACCGAGTTGACAAAGCGCTTTATTTCTCTCGATGCCGGCAGAGCCACTAATTCCCGACGGCGAAGCCGTGCCGCTCCGAGTCGAGCCGGACGGTCCTGTCGGCCTGGCAACCTCTCCTCACCGACGCGACCGTGTCGACGCCGAAGGAAGTCAGGAATATTTGGAATAGCCGACCCAACCAATAGCTATGCCCTGAGGGTATGCGCCACAAAATGTAAAATTTTTTCTGAACTGAATATCACGTCAGTCATACATATGTCAAGTTTCACCTTTATATCTCTGCCCAATTCACTGAGACAAAAAAATATGCCCCCAGGGGATGCATTGGAAACTTCAATATTTTTCCTGAACT